ATGGTTTAGGAAAGTATCATTTCCAATTTAAGAAATTTTATTTACTGAATTAGAAATGATATTCTAAAATTTGAAATTTTGTCAGGTTTTGCTATAGTGGTCGGGTTTAGATGACTTGAGCTGTACAGTCTAAGCTCTCTATACCAAACCCTGTCCCTATGTGTAATTTTTCTGCTTTTGTTTGTTATAAAGAGAGAAATTGATAAAAAATTGAATTGGGGACAAAAGGGAAGTTTGTTATAGAGAGATTTTACTTAGTGTTTGTTATAGAAAGGTTTGGTTAGACTGTATATTTACCATTAAATGCATTTCCTGAAATATTTATAAAAGAAATGTTAAGCATGAAAAAATACTTGATTAGGATCTTGGTTATGCTATGGCAATACATACTAGTCAAGGAATGACTCTCAAGGCTCCACAATGTGTTTGGGTCATTGATGAACATTTGGCTTGGGATGATTTAATATATCTTGCAATTGATTGTGTAAAATATTTAAATCACCCTATTCAGATTGAAGATCCACCATTACTAGAAGTTAGTGCCTATATTTACTGGTGTTGATTTGAAACTCTGAATTAGATGAAAATGGAAAAATCCATGTAGTAGTAAGTCGAGATGAAATGATAAAAATCAGGGTGGAGGAAGATCAAAGAGCAAACAACTATTGAGAAAGGAAGAACAATACATATAAGCGACTTTTTAATTGAAACATAAATTGGAGGTTGGTGAGAATTTTCCTCATGATGCTCAAGTCATCATAGGGCCCCTGAATATACTAACAAGAACTGTGGCAGTCAAAATGAAATTTTAAGCAAACCCGCGTAAATTTTGGCTGTAAATATATTTATGTTAGCTAAAATTGTTTTTGGAAAAAAACATGCTGACTAAAAGAAAAGATTAAATTATTTTTTGTTAATAAATTTTTTTTTTAAACGTTGGCAGTTACATTTAATTGCATTTGATGATCAGAGTATCATTTTTTAAATTTTGAAGAGAATGTATATACACTTAAATTTTATGAGCGAAAACTTGACTGTATCAAACGGTTTTCCTCGAATGCGGTTCATCTAATGGGAGTGTGGTGTGTCCAGTGGTCCTGTTATTATATGTCTCGGAAAGAATGCCAATGGCTGATGGAGTCTTGAACAGTTAATAGATCAAGT